GGCTCAATGATGAATCCAGGGTCACACCCAAGCTGCAAACCTGTGCCTTCAAGGGGAGTGCGACCCCGTCCACCACAGGCTGTAACCCTATACCCTGTTCAGCCTTGGGTTTCAACCTCCCTTCCGGATCCCTTTGCATCAATGCTGCCCCATAAGCCCAATCCGATGTGTCACAGTGGATCACGAACGGCTTGGTTAAATCGGGGTGGATTAGGATTGGTTCCTCAGTGAATCTGCGTTTCAGTTCTTCAAACGCCCTTTGGCACTCTGTTGACCAATTTAGTTTTGCCCCTGGGGACCGTATCTTTACTGTCTCCCCCTTTCCCTTTGTTTTCAGCAGTTCGGTTAGGGGCAGAGTCACCTGGGCAAAGTCCTCTATGAACCCCCGATAAAAATTGGCAAATCCCAGGAACGATTGCAATTGCTTGCGTGTTTGGGGGGGTCCCCACCCCTTGACATCCTCTACCTTTGAGGGATCCATTGCTATCCCACCCTTGGAGATTCGGTATCCCAAGAAATCTATTTGTTCCTTATTGAATTCGCATTTCGGTAACTTAGCAAACAGCTTTGCTTCCCTCAACTTCTGGAGTACCTCCCTCACCAACCGGACATGAGATCGCTTATCACGGCTAAAAATAATTACGTCATCTACAAAACAATACACCCCGCGATACAGCAATGGGTGCAACACCTCATTAATCATTTGCATAAATGCTGATCCAGAGCCTTTTAGCCCAAAAGGACAGACGGAATATTCGTAGTGCCCGAGCGCACAGGTAAAAGCCGTTTTCCACCTGTCCTCTGGCCGTATCTGCAACTTATGATAGGCTTCAATCAAGTCAATTTTCGTGAACACCCTTGCTTCCGATAGTCTCGACAGTAAGTCCTTGGTTAGCGGCATTGGGTACTTGTTGGTCGTGCTCATTGCATTCAGTCCCCTATAGTCCACGCACAACCTCAATGAGCCGTCCTTCTTGTGCCTGAACAGCACTGGGGCCCCCAGCGGGGATTCGGAGGGTGTTATAAATCCTCGTGCTAAGTTTTTATCAATATATTTCCTCAGTTTCCATCTCCTTAGCCGACATGGGATACAATCTACTCCTGGGTAATTTAGCATCCTCATTGAGTTCTATTTTCACTTCAACCCGTCTTGGGGGAGGAAGCTGATCCGCCTCCTTTTCGTCAAATACATCCTCAAAGTCTCTATACTCGGGTGGGATCTCCTGCACTCCGCCTGCCGTGCCTTCCTCCCCCTTACAACATTTCCCCTCCTCCTTGCTTTGGAAGCTTATGCTGCCCTTTCTCCAATTGATTTGTGGGTTTGCTTCCTTTAACCACGGCATCCCCAGTATCACATTGTAAGTTGCTATAGGGGATACCACAAAGGTGATGCCGCCTTCCCAGTCCCCTACTTTGCATTTCACCTCTCCCACTTCGAATTGCGCCGGGGCTCCGGCCGCTACTGAGCCATCCAGCTGCGAAAATGCTATAGGGGCTGGCAAGACGGTCTTCTCACAGTTCAGTTCGTCTGCCAGTTCTGGGGTTATAATGTTCCTTGAACAGCCGCAATCCATGAGGGCTTTGCAGCTGGCCCACTTCCCCTCCCCTTCTAGCCTGATCGGGAACATCAACATTCCTGGGCTGTGACTCACCATATCTCTCTCTGGGGCCCTATGAGGGAGGCTCTCTTCCGCTCTCTTCCCTGCGGCCGGTTTAAACTTTGGGTGCGGGGGATCCCCCCCTTTCCTTTGTCGACACCCGGCTGCCCGATGGCCAAAGCGGCCGCATACAAAACAGCCTCCCTTCTGCTCCTTGGATCCTCCGGCGGCCCCCTTTCCGATCGTGCTTCTCTCCGTCCTCCGATTCTCCTCCTTGGGCCTTGTCTGCTGCAGCGCCGCCCCTTGATGCCTCTTGACCTGAGCCAAGGTCGTCTTGATGCGGCCGGCCAGCTCAATCCATCCGCCTATCTCCTCCGGATCGTCGCGATGAAGTGCCCAGGTTAAGATTTCTTTCCGCAGGCCCTCTTTGAATATCTGGATCTTGGTGGTATTGGACCACTCTGGCACTTTCTCCGCCCTCAACCGGAACTCTTCCACGTACTCGGACACAGAGCGATGGCCTTGGGTTATCGTCTGCAGCCTTTCTCTCGCCCGGATCCTCTCAAGCGGGTCCCTGAAGCGTGCCTCCATCGCAGCCAGGAATCGTCTCGTGGATCCCAAACATGGGTCATGCCTGGCGTGGAGCTGGACATACCACTCCGCTGCTCCTTTCCTCAGTGCTGCGCCCACTGCCCGCACTCTGCTTGCCTCCGACCCGAAGGTGAGAGCGTTGTCCTCTAGATACCCCCTTACCATGGTTAGGAAGTATTTGAGGTTCTCAGCTTCCCCTCCGAATTCAATCCTCAACTCCTCCCTTCTGGGTTGGTAAGGAAGGGGTTGCCTCTCCATCCTCTCCGCCCGCGGTGGCCCTCCCTGGAGCCTATGCTGCTCCGGGGGCAATCCTTGCCACCCTGTGCCACGCCCGGCCCCGGCCGGGGGCACCAGGAACGTCTGCTGGGACGCCAACGCCAGTTCCCTGGGTTGTCCCTCCTCCTCGTCGCTCTCTGCAACTGTTCTCCAATTCGCCTGCGTTTCAGGACGTGCCCCGGGTCCCCGGTCACTCCTCTCCTCCGCACTCCACATCGATTCCCCTCGGGTTCGTGGTTCCCCTAACAAGGGGGCCAGCCTCTCCATCACTTTTGATATTATTGCGAGGGGGTTTTCCATAGATGCCAACTTCTCCTCCAAATAATCCAACCTCTGCGGGGAGGGAAAGTCTAGCCCGCTGCTTCCTCTCGCTGCTGCCTCTGCCCCCTTCACTCGCCTCCGAGCGATTCCGCTGGGCTGGGCATACACAGTTGGCGAAGCCAAGGCATTCACTCTCTCCAGCTCCTCTTCTGCATTCTCAAAAGGGGAGCCTGGTTCTTCCCCCTCCGTTGGTTCTTCTTCTTGTTGCATGGGGGTGCCTCACCACAGCCGTGGGATGGCACAATGAATCCTGGCTTAATGTAAACTCACAGCAGCCGCTCCCAGAAAAGACACAGGACGCCAATCCGTAATCAATCAGGAAACTTTTACTACTGGAAATGCATACACAACGAAAGCCAGGATTGGCATGCAGCCGCAGTCAACCCCTTTTATACCCTCCCTCACAATTGAATCTCCCTTTCCCGCCAGCCGAGGATCCCGCGCAATGTTCCCCGCCATTTATCAACTGCTTTCCCCCAAGGCCACCAGCTGCACATCCTTATCAGTTTTCCTAGTCAGGACGTGGGTTTTTTGCGCCAATGTCCGAGGCCAGGAAACCGAGTCCTGACACATAAGATTGGAAGTTGCCTTGTGTTTTCTCACGGGGACATAACACATACCTAGAAGATCTTTAGTAATCCCTGAATTCTTTCTAAGGATTCAAATGCCTGCCCGCCTCTACTGGAATCAAGGCACTCGTGCAGAGATCTGTGAGAGGGCCTTGGACAATGCTGTTGTAGATATGAGAAAGTGATTGAATGGTCTGAAGAAGTGCAAGGAGGCTGTGAGTGTTTGCAATTGACTGTGAGAAAGGGAGAGTAGCTTTAAAAAGGACTGTGCCTTTCTACAGTAAACTCACCCATGAGATTGCAAGACACAATTGATCTCTCCACAAGCTCTCGGAAGACAGCCAAGACTCTAGCAGGTACAAGGTCTCCCTCAATGTTCACATCCGTCTCGTGCCATTGTTGGAGGCTCTTGGAGAACTGCTCAACTTCCAGCCACTGCTGCAGATCCTCTGGATCCCTGACAGGAGACATGAGCCTGGCTCCATGTGCTGTGTAGTAACGCCAGTGTCGTTTCTGGCCCTCTTTGTATCCAGATAGGCCAAGCAAGGGGATGGTGATGAGGAACTGGTTGGGTGCTAAGACCTAGACATCAACAGAAAGGTTGAAACAGAAAACATAAATGGGGGAAGATAGCATTTGGTGGGGAAATGAAGAACAAGAGCCCAATCCAGGGACCTTTCTAGCTTGGGTGTCTTCCTAGATTCAGCGCTGGCCACGGTGGTCCACGCCTTAGTTACTTCTAGATTGGACTATTGCAATGCGCTCTACATGGGGCTGCCCTTGAAGACGGCCTGGAAATTCCAATTGGTCCAACGGGCGGCAGCCAGATTAAAGTGGTGCAAATTACAGAGAGTGGTCAACCCTCCTGTTTAAGGAGCTCCACTGGCTGCCGTTTATTTTCCGGACCCAATTCAAGGTGCAGGTCTCGACCTACAAAGCCCTGAACGGTTTGGGACCCACCTACCTGTGCGACCGCGTTTCCATCTACGAACCCACACGATCTCTTCGATCTTCCAGAGAGGCTCTTCTCTCGCTCCCGCCCGCATCGTAAGTGCGACTTGCAGGGACGAGAGAGAGGGCCTTCTCTGTGGTGGCCCCCCAGCTCTGGAACTCACTCCCTAGAGATATTAGGCAAGCCCCCACGCTGGCAATCTTCAGGAGGAATCTGAAAACCTGGTTATTCCAATGTGCCTTCAGTGATTGATTGGAAGATACTCCCTGACCAAACTTTGCACAAATGTCCTTAGAAGCACTTTATTTTATGGCTCGTGCAATTAAATCCTCCTCATTCCCGGATCCTCCTCCTTATAATCTTATCTCCCAGTGTTTTAAAATTTTTACCCTTCAATTTGGCCCTACCCAGTGAAATCTGCTGTGTTTTTAATGTTTGATTTTATATTGCTGTGCCGTTTATTATATTGGTTTTGCATTTTATGTAATTTTTTTGGTGCTATTATATTTTTGCATTATATTGTGTGTACTATATTGATAGGCGTGGCCTCATGTAAGCCGCACATGAGGGGGAGATGGAGCGGGGTATAAATGAAGTATTATTATTATTATTATTATTACTATTATTATTAGATACTTTTCGGATATTTATATCTAAATTATTATTTCCCCAAACTTGGAATACATATAGAAGCAGCAATTGGGATGAGTTAATGTGATATGAAGAACAATGGACCAACCCAGACACTGATTTTAAACTGGCGGGATTTTAAACAAATGTTTTTATTAATATAATGTATGTTTAAATGAATTGTTTTAAACTGTATTTTATGTTTGTGATTAACACTAAAACGAGTGCTTGTTGTGAAGCCGTTCCTCCGGGGATGGTTTTTTGTTTTTAGAAGGACGGGGTACAAATGTACGAAATAAATAAATAAACATGGGTTAAGGGTCAGCAAAGTGCAGCCTTAACCTGTATGTGGCCTCAATGTCCCCTTCCCCTCCAACTACTTGGACTAGCCAAAAAGAGTAATCTGCCTCTCCTGGGAGTCTCTGGGATGGCTAATCATATTTCAAATAGGTTGCAGAATCTAGAGTACTTTTTCACATTTCTACAAGTTTGTGTTTTTCAAAATCAGAAGTGTATTCTGATTTTGTATCCAGTCACAAGGATTATGTTATGTTATCCAGTCACACAGATTATGTTATTTTTGGCAGCATCTTGAGGCCGAATATTGGTGTCCAATTCTGCTCAATTTGTCCACCCCAATACAGTAGATATCTTGATTGCCTTCATATGGAAGTATTTGTACTTCATATAAATACTTCCATGCAGATACCTTGCATATAAGCCAGTATTATTATTATTATTGTGTGTGTGTGTGTGTGTGTGTACACATGCACATTACAATGATGGAACAGTCACCCAAGAGAGTTCAGAATCTATATCTAAGGTCTTTCCATGCTGCCCAAAATGTGAATGGCTATCCAGTAAGATCTGGGCCTTTGCAGGTATTTTTAAAACCTGGAATAAACCTGGATAATCAGATTTATTTCAGGTTGAAATGAATAAGCCAGGAGCATCATTTGGATGCCCCAAGCTAATACATTTCCTATATCACATGATGCAGTGCCGTAGATGTGGCCTATGTTAGGTACTTCCTGGGTCCCCGTTTAAGGCAATCTCAAGCCTGCAGTGGAGAATGTTTGCCAGGTTCTTGATTTGTTCCATCTGTAGATCATCCAGGCCTCAATAAATGTAAATATGGCAAAGCAGCTGACCTGGATGATCTATGGATCAAATCAAGAACTTTGGTCCAAAAGCAAGGTGCTAGCTGCTGGAACTGATGAACAACTGCACTGCATCCTGTCAGATCCAAAAATCTAGAGGAAAGCAAGAGTCATCGCCATCTTGAAGCCAGGTAAAGACAGTAATGATCCAAAAAGCTATAGACCAATCTCCCTGTTGTGTCACCTCTACAAAGTTCTGGAGAGAAGAGACTTATTTTGCATAGAATTATGGAAAAATAGACCCATGTCTGATTCCACAAGCAAGCTGGCTTCAGGAAAGGCAAAAGCTGCACATCGCAAGTGCTGAACCTGACTCAGCACATAGAAGATGGCTTTGAAAGGCAGCAGATCACAGGAGCTGTCTTCATAGACCTGTCAGCAGCCTATGATATTGTGAACACCGCCTCCTCCTGAGAAAAATGTATAATATCACAAAGGACTACCACCTCACCCGCCTCATAGGAAACCTGCTACAAAACAGGAGCTTTTTTGTTGAGTTCCAGGGCCAGAGAAGCAGATGGCAGAAACAGAAGAACGGCCTGCCTCAGGGGAGCGTGCTTGCTCCATCCATGTTCAACATCTACACAAATGACCAGCCACTGCCAGAAGGGACAGAGAGTTTCATCTATGCTGATGATCGTGCCATTACTGCTCAAGCAGGGAGCTTTGAAATGGTAGAACAGAAGCTCTCCGAAGCTCTAGGTACCCTTACCGCCTACTACAGAGAAAACTAGCTGATCCCTAATCCATCTAAAACACAGACATGTGCCTTTCACCTTAAGAACAGACAAGCATCCCGAGCTCTGAAGATTACCTGGGAAGGAATCCCACTGGAGCGCACCCAAATACCTGGGAGTCACTCTGGACCGTGCTCTGACCTACAAGAAGCACTGCCTGAATATCAAGCAAAAAGTGGGTGCTAGAAACAATATCATACAAAAGCTGACTGGCACAACCTGGAGATCACAACCAGACACAGTGAAGACATCTGCCCTTGCGCTATGCTACTCTGCTGCTGAGTATGCATGCCCAGTGTGGAACACACATCACCACGCTAAAACAGTAGATGTGGCTCTTAATGAGACATGCTGCATTATCACGGGGTGTCTGCGCCCTACACACCACTGGAGAAATTACACTGCTTAGCCGGTATTGTACCACCTGACATCCGCCGGGAAGTAGCAGCCAATAGTGAAAGGAACAAGGCAGTGACATCTCCAGCTCATCCCTTGTTTGGGCATTAGCCAGCATGTCAACGATTTAAATCAAGAAATAGTTTTCTAAGATCTACAGAGACACTCGCTGGAACACCTCAACAAGGGAGAGTCCAAAAGTGGCAGGCTCAAACCCAGAACCTCAACCAATGCTGATACCAAATGAGAGACTCCCCCCTGGGCCCACAGAAGACTGGGTGACCTGGAAGGCACTGAACAGACTGCGCTCTGGCATCACGAGATGAAGAGCCAACCTTCAGAAATGGGACTACAAAGTGGAATCCACGACACGCGAGTGTGGAGAAGAGCAAACCACTGACCACCTGCTGCAATGCAACCTGAGCCCTGCCACATGCACAATGGAGGACCTTCTTGCGGCAACACCAGAGGCACTCCAAGTGGCCAGATACCTGTCAAAGGACATTTAATCAACTACCAAGCTTGCAAACTTTGTGCTTTATCTGTTTGTTTGTTTTGTTTTGTTAGAAATGTAATACAATGGTCTAGTTGCCCCTGACACGATAAATAAATAAATAAATAAGTGTAGAGTTTGGTCAAGAAGAATAGTATAATTTCTGTATAAGTACTGAAGTTATTTTCTTACCTCAGTAGAGAAATTGATAACACAAGGAACAAAAACAGATGACCATAATGCATCCAAACCTCTGGGCCTTCTATACCAGGCCAACGTTTTATGTACCAGGCCAATGCAGGAACGTTTTAGTTTTGGCTAGATACTAACATTTTTCTTTGAGAATGCACCTTCTTTCCTTTTAATCTCTGCATAGTATCTAAAAACACTCCCCATGCAACATATACACAAATCTTGTAATTTATTAATCATATTGATGCTCTCTAATATTTTTGTTTTATTAAGAACTTATTGCAAACCACCATATGAAAGTTTGACCTAAAAGTCGAGGCAGAAATATGTTAAACTGAAGTTTCCCATACTAGCCTTAAAAATTTCCTAACTTATAATCTGTATTCCTTTCATAATAAGCATTACCAATGTCATGCAAATACATTGTGGCTTTCCACAACACTTTTGGAAATAGATGATAAATAGTAAGGAAGCTGAATTTGACCAGAATGGAGAGGACTGTTATAGCTGCCTCCAATCTAGGCCTGGTCTTAGTAGTTAATAAGTGACACCATTAGGGACCTTATCACATTGAGATATAATCTGTTTACATCAGTATCCATCCTGTATTTTTTAGGACTGAATGCATTGGTTCTGATGGCTTGCTCCTGGGCTGCAAAAATCAGGCCTTCTGTCTCCTTCTTCAGGGTTCCATTCATGAGCCATAACCAGGACTTCTCCTTGCCAACTTTTCCTTCAGTCTTCTCAAGGAACTGCCCATGTCAGGCTTTGTTGTGCCAGCTGTCAGCTCTGGAGTGCAGTTTTCTTGTACTGACTCTTTGTCTGCTGTGCTTTGAGAAGTTTCCGATTATTGACTTCAATTAAAGCAGGTTCTTGGCTTTCCTTGACATATTCTGCCAGGGCTGTTTTTCTTCTTCAACTGCTTGTTTGACTTGTAAAAGTCCTCTGCCACCAGACTTTCTAGGCAGATAGAGCCGGTCAACATCACTGCGAGGATGTAATGAATTATGAATGGTCATGAG